TAAAGACAACCACTAAAAACATTTTCCTACATTTTTAAGTCTTTCTACACACTTTTACTTAGTTATGATTGTATTGCATGTGCCAGGTAGTTATCTTACCTTTTTCTCTGAACATTATAAGGAAGCATTTTCCCACTAAAAAATGTCTTCACATTTTTCTGACTGCAACATACATGTTGTTCTGTATGTACTCTGTCATTACCCTGTGTTAAATTTTCCTTTCATGTTGTCTTTAGGTTCTCACTGTTACAAATAATGCTGTGATGAAAATTTTTGTGCCCTCAGTTTTTTTGGGGGGGAGCGGTAATTAGGATTATTTCCTTAGAATAAATTCCTACAAATCTAATTAGAGAATTTAAGACTCTTGTTATTTATTGCCAAATTCCTTTCCCAAAGGGCTGAAGCTATTTATAGAGTGGCTTTCTAAAGAGGTTCTAAAAACAATTCCACAGGTGCCTCATAGCTGTGTTCCTTCATGAATGCTAATTGATTTGTGGTTACTTCTCAGTATCTTAAACTGATATATTTACTAGCTTTTTTTTAATTCACCTTTTTATGTTGAGATGATTATAATCACATGCAGTTATAGGAAATAATAGAGGGCCGGCCAAGTGGCACGTTGGTTAGGAGTTGGCTTGGATGCCAGCTGAGCAGCAGGGCCCTGGTTCGGATCCCACATATGAGGGCCAGTGACGCTGCGCCCTCTACAGCTAAGATGGTGAACAACAGCTCTACCTGGAGCTGGGCAGCCGTGAGTCGCTGGCGACGGTGTAGGCTGCAGTCGGGCTGGCTAGCAGTGTGCGTGAGCTGCTGTGAGCTGCCATGAGCCGCCACGAGTGACGGCCTCACCTGGGAAGAGCGCAATGATAATACCAACATGGGCCAGTGAAGTGACATCCTCCACAACTAGACTGAAGAACAAAAGGACAGCAACTTGTCTGTGCCCCTCCCCCAGTTCCCCAATAAAATCTTAAAAAAAAAAAAATAATAGAGATCTGTTTCTCCCAATGGCAGTACCTTGCAAAACTATAGTACAATATCACAACCAGGATATTGACATTGATACTTTTCCTAGTTTTTTAAGTCAGAGGAGTGTTTTCATACCTAATGGTGAAAGTAATTTTCAAGAGATACAGAATATATTAAAAAATACAGAAGTCCATATAAATAAATGCAATAAATTGATAAATAAAAGCCCTTTTCCTCCAACCCCTGGTGTCATTCCTAAAGGAAACCACTGTTAAAATAACAAACCAGAATAGAAGTTTCTGTTTTCATGTTCCTTAACTGTGTGTGTGTGTGAGAGAGAGAGAGAGAGAAAGAGAGAATGTTTGTGTATATTCTGCAGTAGCTTGATCCAAGGAACACTACAAATGTCAGATAAAATCTCTCATGTCATTTAGGCCCAAGGAAACAGGAAACAAGCATTCTGAGAGCGTTTCATTACAAGAATGAAATAATGCATTTTTATTGCCGTGGCACCCTGGGAGGTCTCTGAGAGTAGGGGAAGCTATTGAGTTCCCTGATAGGAAGTTGCATCTTACTTCAAGCAGTAGGAAAACAGGTCTTGGCTTTGGATTAGCAGTGAACTCTCAGGGTGTACAAGGATCTGGTTGAAACCCCTGGTGTTAAATTGTCTCTTTCAATCTGGTGATATTCCTGTTTTCCCTGGACTTCATGACCTTGACATTTTTGAGGGTTACCGCTAATCATGTTGAATGTTTCTCAATTTGGGTTTGTCCAGTGATTCTGCATGATTAGATCAAGTTTATGTATTTTAGGCCAGAATGTCAGATTTGGTGTACTTTTCATTGTATCCTATCAGTCTTTCTGTCCAGTTACTGGTGAGGTTTCCTTTGTTCACCTGAAGTACAACAGTGTCCCAGGCTTGTCTTGTTCCTTCCATGACTCAACCCTAGAATCGTCCATATCTTCAAGGAGCCCTGGATCCTTTTATTTTTTATTTTATTTTTTTAAAGATTTTTATTGGGGAATTGGGGGATGGGAACCGACAAGTTGCTGTCCTTTTGTTCTTCAGTCTAGTGGTGGAGGACATTGCTTCACGGGCCCAAGTTGGCACCATCATTGCACTCTTCCCGGGCGAGGCAGATCAGTCACCGGCTTCTGGACAGTCTCTCACGGTGGCTGCTGGCTACACACAGTAGCCCATGGCAACCCACTGCAGCAGGGACGGCAGCCTAGCTCCAGGTTGAGCTGTTGTTCAGCATCTTAGCTATAGAGGGCAGTGTCATTGGCCTTCATATGTTAGATCCAAACTGGGGCCCTCAGGCGTCCCAAGCCAGCTCTTAACCAATGCACGACTCGGCCGGCCCAGCCCTGGTTCCTTTTAGTGGAGAGTGGTGTTTGGGTGCTAGGTGTGCTCATTACTGTTGGTGTTTTGCTGCTCCCAATCTTTCCCATAGGACAGAGCTAGGGAACTTTGACATTATATTTATTTCTATATCTACCGTGCATATTATGTTCATTTAAAATAGCCCCAATTCCAGTCTTAACACCACAGGATTAAGTTTTTAATCTTTTGAAAAATGTGACAGTGCCCTATCCTTAACAGATTCCTGTCATGTTGGAAACTCTTGAATTTGTTGAACCCTTTATGAAGTAATATATTAACAGGTATTAATGAATGTGGACAACTCAAGTTACAAGAGCAATAATAATTTAAAGATTATCATTCAGGAAACTGAGTTTTGAGCAAAATCTATAGAAGGCAGGCTTTCCAGGTGGAGCTAAGAGCCTACTCAAAGGTTTGGGACTAGCTTGGTGTCTGTAAATGGACTTTCCTGTTTGGAGCAGAGGATCCTTACTGGAGGCAATGAAGAGTGAGGCTTGTAAGACTGATTGATTTTATGACTGACTTATGGTCAGTCTCCTGTAGGTTCTGATTCAGGTCTGGGGCCCAAGAATCTACAAGCGCCCCAAGCAATTATTTTGATCAAGTTTGAGGAAACTCTGGCCTACACTGGGGAATACCAGCAGATTTTTTTTTTTTAAGATTTTTATTGGGGAATTGGGGGATGGGAACAGTGTTGGGGAATTGGGGAAAGGGGAACAGACAAGTTGCTGTCCTTTTGTTCTTCAGTCTAGTGGTGGAGGACGTTGCTTCACTGGCCCAAGTTGGCACCATCATTGCGCTCTTCCCGGGCGAGGCATTATCAGTCGCTGGCTTCTGGACAGCCGCTCACGCTGGCTGCTCACACTGGCTGCTGGCTACACACAGTAGCCCATTGGCAACCCACTGCAGCAGGGGCTGCAGCCTACTCTGTCGCCGGCAACTCATGGCAACCCAGCTCCAGGTTGAGCTGTTGTCCAGCATCTTAGCTGTAGAGGGCAATGTCACTGGCCCTCATATGTGGGATCCGAACCGGGGCCCTCTGGCGTCCCAAGCCAGCTAGCTCTTAACCATCGCGCCATTCGGCCGGCCCAGGAGATTTTTTTTTTTTTTACTGTGCCCATGTTCCACATGGGCTTACTGATTATAATAGTGGGGGGTGGGAAGGGGAGTGGGTGGGTGTGTGAACAAGAAATATGGGTTTGCAAGGTGGCAGGAAGTGTATTTTGAGAATGTTTCCCAGTGGAATACTACTGCTACTGAGATGGAATCTCTGCAAAGTGTGCCAATATTAAAGTTTTCATGAATAGAATTGAATTCTGAGGTCTGTAGTTAGAAATCCAGGCTCTTCAGAACTTGTGAAACACACATCCCCTTTGCTACAGGATGGTGTTTGGAAGAAAGAAATAACAACATAGATACCGTGTACTGAGTGTATACTCAGTGACAAACCCTGTGCTATGCTAAGTAGTCTACATAAATATCTTGATTTAATCTTTACCATACAACCCCATGACGTATGTGCCATTATCTCTACTCTATAATTACAGAAATTGAGGCATAGAGAGCAGTGAAATAACTTGCTCAAGGTTACCCAATTAGTGGTTACCCAATTAGTGGAGCCAGAATACAATCCAGGAAGTTTGATTCCAGAGGTCAAGCTCTTCTGTGCTCAAAATTTGTTGAATGAATAAAGAATGAAAATTGAGGAGAAAACTCGTGGATAGTGAAGAAATATCTAATGGGAAGTTAAAATACACATATGTTATAGACATGCTACAAATAGAATTTTCAAGTCGGAAAGGATTTGAGAGAGATCACCTTCACAATATCCCCAGTAAGAATTCTGTCTACTTGTGCTTGGAAGGTGCCAGTGACATGGACTCAGTGTTTCCAGAGAAGACCCCGTCCTGTTTTCCAGCAGCCTCGCACTTCTTTTAAGCTGAGATTAGCCCCCGGTACTTTCTAACCCTGTGTTCTATTGCTGAATTTTGGTGCCACACTGTGCACCCCTGATTGACTAGGTAAAGCCTCTAAGCAGAGGTTAGGAGAGGGAATTTTTTCCCTCTGCCTGGAACACCATGTCCTGTCCCCCTGTCTGTCCTCCTGCCTCCAGGGAGCCACAGGATTATCCTCCCCATCAGGTCTCTATTGAAACATCACTCATCAAAGAGGCCCTCCATAGCCAGCTTATAAAGTAGCACTTTCCCACAGTCGTTCTCCATCCCAGCAGCCCTCAGCCCCAGGTGATACATAGTAGTTTGCTTGTTCTCCCCCACCTTGCCCCAGAATGTAAGTTCTTTGCGGAGAGACTTGGTCTGTTTTGGTTCACTACTGAATACTCAGGCCTGGAGCAGTACCTAGAACAAAAGAGGCGCTTCATAAATATCTGTTGAATGATTGAAAGAGAGACAGGAGTTTAAGAACTAAACCCCAACCCTGGGACGCAGGGGAGAGAAACAGGAATCATGGATGGTGGGACCAGTGACACAGCTGTAAATGGTATGGCTTTGGCAGGATTCTGATTTTGCTTTGTACACACACAAAAAATGCTCCACTCTGTCTATTGGCAGGATTGAGAAGGTGGGATGTATTTGTGGTGAGTCCCATTAGCAGCAAGACCCTTCAACTTTTCTGCTTTTTGTTTCAGATGAGACAAAAGGACCCAGTGAAAGGAATGACAGCGGATGACTAAAGCCACCTCCCCCTTCTGCACTGTATGTACCCAGTTTCTCACTGTGCATGTCAGACACTAAAATCAGTCTGGGTCCGCAAGGCCTCAGCAGCTCACTGTAGAGTCAGAAAACCTGCTTAATTCCTCATCCTGCCCTCTAGGAATAATAATGACTGCCATGCTAAACAGGCTTGTCATGTGCTCGGGCTTCCATTGAAAGAAATTTTGACTATTAGGACATTTCAGGGACATGTGATTTTACAAAGAACAACCCAGACAGACATGGACAGGGTGGTGAGAGGGGATGGGCTAAGGGCGGTAGATGCAAAATTGAAGCTTATCTGCAACTCAGTACTCTTCCTCCCCTAACTTGAGCCATTTCAAGCTGAACCTGGCGTTCTGGGTCGTGCCCTATAGCCCCTGTGCCAGAGCCAGTTCCCAGCTCCCAACTGCTGGTGTTTCCTGTCCCTCCCTTGGAAAACCTGGTGTCTAGACAGCTCTCCCTAGCATTCATTGTTGTATCTGGTGTTTCATTTCCTTCCTTTATATACCTTTGATCCCATACTAAGTCGCTGTCCTCATCAGAGGCAGCATCTTTCAGATGTTGGGAGAATATTTCTGCCCAGCTCATAGGTAGGACCAGGACGGGATGTCCCCGGTCATATTGTCAACCTTCCCCAGTTCCCTTCCTTCTAATTGCTCCCAGTGCCCTGAACACCTCCAGACGTGCTGTTATTCCAGCAGCTCAGAGTGGGCTTGGTCATGGAATGAAAAATGCTGTTCCCCATCAGGCTCTGAGAGATTATTTTATCAAATAAAAACTGCCTGTCCTCTAGCACTATCGAGCTAAGGAGGCCTGGGGTCCCACCAGCGTGATGCAAACCTCTGCTCGCTCTCCCAGCCCCACATGCTTTAGAACTTCTGGGAGATGAAAGGGTAGGATTAAATGGGTTGTTGCAATGCCAGCTTCTAGTCACTGCTTGGACCTTATTTTCCTCTCTCCCCAACCCCAACCACACCAACTGGCATCCTTCTTCCTTTTGAAACTCCCCCATCAATGATGATTTACAGTGATTCTATTTTCCTCTGTTGCTTCCTTAATAATTGTATTTCTCTTGTAGTTTTGCAAGACAGTGGTCAACAGGAAGGCCCAGCAGCTCCACTCTCCCGAGTGACAGGCCATCTTCGGACCCAGCCTTTCCGTGCACATTCTTCAGGCAACTTTCGATCCCTTACTGTAGCTAATTCTAGATGCCCTTTAATATTGTGAACAAATAGACCGTCTGGTATTATGAAGCCGTGTGTGCAGGAGCCAGCTGCTCCTCTGAGATATGTGGCGTGTAGGTTGCTGTATTTACAGCTCTTCCTCTCCAACCATTGTATTCTCAACCCATTTCTGTGTGCCACCCCCCCCTTTATTTCCAAGTGACATTTTTAGTCTATCGAAATAGCTGCCCTTTGTGATGTGGTGATTTAAATGATTTAAGTTTGTTTGTTTTCAACCTTGGGATAAACTGAGGTATTTTGCTTCCTGACAGATCTCTGCAATTTTGAGTGCTCACCTGGGGAGGGTGATGAGTTAGAAATACAGTTTTTCCCCCCTAGGTTCCGCAGAACAGCAATGTGGCTTCATAACTCTGACCTCTGCTCCCAGTAACCCATTGTTAAGAGTGCTCTAAGCACCAAGGAAAATACCCAAGGCCCAGCCAGCCTCTGTTTTGAACATTTAACAAATACAAATAACCCCTGCCCCAAGCATTGCATCTCTGGTCACTAGTCTCAGAAACACCTATGGCTTCTCTGTCCTCCTGTTGCCCACTCTGTCTGCATCTCTGCAGAGCCCGTAACATGCCCAGGTCAGCCCTATACCTGGAGGAAACTATCCAGTGTAGCCCTTAGAATTGAGTCTGCCCCACATACACTAATTAGTCTGCCCCCAAGGAGCTCTATATGTCCACGCTCCTCTTCCTGTTTGGGCTGGTGCTGTCACTCAGCAATAATCGTCTTTTCTCTGTGCTTTCTTAGATTCCTGTCCTCTGTCTTTGAGGCTGGTCAGGACACAAGAGTGCTGACCTCTTCATGCTGCATAAAACAAGCATGCAAAAAGCTTCTTCCCAACAGAAAACATTCCCTCGTCTCCAGTTGCTAGAAAGGATCTGGGGATCAAGAACTCAGCCCGTCCTGCCCCCGTGCTGAGTTCTGTCCTGGACAATCAAGAGCAAGTAGTGACTGTGGTACAGAACTCTACCAAAATAGGCCAGTGAGAGTCCAGGCTCCAGGAAAATAGAAGCTGCAGAGTGCTTCAGAGTTTCCTACTACTTGGCAGAACCCAAGTATGCCTTCCCAGTGAGAGAATCAGATAGCTGTGGTGTCACCTGACATTTCCCAAACTTTGTGAAGTATGTCGGCCAAGTGTGCAGTGATCCAAGCCATGCTAGCCTGGGCGCAGCTGCTAATGAGAGATCAAATCTCTGTTGAGGGAGCGAGAAGTAGGATGGGATAATTTATCCTCATGTTTTTGTCAGTTTGTTTTGCCTTACTCACTTCTAAGTGCAATAAGGAAGTGTCTCACAGGATTGCACCTGTGACATCCTGAATGCTGCTTCCCTGGGGCCCACCTGGGGCCAAAGTAGACAGACTCAGACCCCTTAGCATGGTTAGCTCTGACCATCGAGGCCCCTTTGGGACCAGGATATGTCCTGTTACCCTTCCTTTCAGTCTCACCTTCTGGGGCCTATAGTAGCAATGGATCTGGCGCTGTTCAGTTGGTTATTAACATCCCAACTGCTAGTAGCATTTATTTGACTGGGAAAGTTGAAGAAGCATTCCTACTGGAGAAAAATGTAAATGTTTTCCTGCAAGCTTTGTATTAGCTATAATTATATTTGTGCTTAAAGCTCTCCCTTCTTCAACTACATGAAGTCCAGATGTGAGTTATCCTGGGAGAAACAACTGGTGATATTCTTAACAGACAGTTGTTTATGTGGTGCAAGGGTCAGATGTTAGTCTCCTTCCTTCAGCTCTTCTCTGAGATCCATACATATCACTCCAGCTCTGGTGGGGGCTCACTCTTTATCTGCCTTTTCTCTGCTCCCGCCCCTCCACCTGTTGCCCCAGTTTGAAAGCATCCACATGAGCTGAGCTAGAATTCCTGAAGCCAGTTGGATCTGGGGCTCCAACCCACATACACATAAGGAGGGATGTCCCAGGTCTATTCCATCCCCAAGGATAGTGTTGCTGCTGGGCAACTGTGTTGGCTTCTTTTAAATACCTCCCCTTTCCTTCTTCACCTCCCCCCAAACTGACTAGCACTCAGAAGGGCTTATGATGAAAGGCTCAGCTCCAGGGTAGTACCTGAGGATGTGCCATGCCCCTTCAGACCAGCTGCTTCTAGTAGGTTTCCAGGGTCTCAGCCCCAGCTGGAAGCAGCAGTGCCTCTGTAGGAGGGGTGCTGGGCTTTGGCCTTCTTACGGAGAGAGGTCAGGGACAGGGTCAGTATTGTGGCACGTGTATATCTTCCCAAATTCTCTTACAGTCCCTGCCGGGACTCCCTGACTTATTTTGGTTGGTTCTTAGTGCTACTTCTTTTACAAAATACACTTTGTAGAATTGATTAGATTACCTTATTTAATGTGAGTTTGTGCCTTTTTGTCTCAATCTTCCAATACAGGTATATTGGGAAAAAAAGCAGTCTAATAAAATTCTAGACAGAGCTTTCTGGAGTCGAGCTTATTGCTGATGTCCTTATGTCCATTTTCCAATTTAGATACCCCCCAGACTCTTGCTGATGTCCTCCATTTTACTAGGGAAGGATTAAGGAAAAGGTACAAGACCATCTCTAAAAATTTTTATAGGTGGATTTCTGGAAATTAAAACATCCCCTCGTCATTTTACTTATGCAAACATATCTAAAAGTCATTTGGCTATTTCCTACTGGCAGTATTTCCTTTTTACTTTTATCTCCCCTCCTCTTCACATCTCCCTTTTTCCCATCCTACCAAGCAAAACATTTATTTAAAGTAGCAGTTCTTAACCTTGCTTCCAGGTCTACAAACCTTATGAAGCTTGTTTGTAAAATTGTGTGTTTTTCTGGGGAAAGTCACTGCTCTCAGATCCTTGAAGGAATCCCATGCACCGCCCCCACCCCCCCTTCCCCTCAACCCCCTGCCGAATATTAAGAACCAGTGATTTGACGGAAATCATAGTTAATCTTTGGCAAAGTAAACAACAGCTTCATGTTTGGTCCCAACACAGACACTTATTTTTCATTCGTTTGATGGTCCATTTTTTAAGAGTCCAAGAACCTCCCAAAAGTCCAAAGTGTAACCGGTAACCTAATAAGTGAAGACCATAGAAAAGAACTTCAGAGCCCAATGACCAACATGAAATCACCTGGAGTTGGGTGGGGGAAAGAGACTGGATTACAGGCAGGACAGTGGCTGGACTGTCCTCTCCCCACTTCGCCCCTTGGGCCTCCAGGCGTTGGGGAGCTGCAAAGGGACAGCGCAGAGGTCAGAAACCTCCGATTCGATATTACAAAAACCAGCTACAGCCGAAGAAGTTCGCGCTGGTGTAGCGACGACTTCCGCCGGAAGACGCTCCCTCCCAGTCGGCCTCGCGCGGGGCACCCTGGGAGGCGCGGGTCGACCTATGGGCAGTCGGGCACACCGGGCGGGGCAGTGTTGCGTCCGCTTCTGATGACAACGAGGACACGCCTCTCACGTCCTGGTACCTAAGCTCCTTTCCTCAGCCTTTCACCTTTCGCGCTTGTTGAGAGTCCGTCCTCTTCCCCGGGCCGCACCACCCAGAGCACTCTGCGCGCTCAAGCCCCGCCCCTTACGGAAGCCGAGGCGGAGGTCCAGAATCCGGAAGAAAAACAACCCCGAGAGAGTGATCTAGCCGGGACCTGCTGCCGCAGGGGTGCTGATCCGGTCAGGCTCTCCCGGGGCAGGGAAACGCGAGTCGGCCGGTCCACCGCGTGGGGACGATGGCAACTGAATCGAGAGGAAGGAAGCTGAGGTGAGGAAGCACTGCGGGCAGGCTGGCCTGCTCCGGGAGGGATCACTGCCTCCCACCCAATCGGGGCTGCGGATCTGTGGCAGAATCAGACTGGGAGAGAAGGGACCGGGCCTACAAGACTGTTTCAAGTTCAGAGGCCCTCACAAATTACCCAAGGCCAGTGTCGAGCATTTAGTATAGGGTCCGAGCACCACGCCCCCTCCAAACTCAAGCCGCCAAGCTAGTTGCCACTTGGACGCCCCAAGCAGGTGCCCAGTTAGCTTCTGGAGAAGGCAGCAGTGTTGGACTGTTGGGAGTTAAAGACATAAAGCACTCTCCCCTCAGCTGTAGAGTAGAAATCTATTCTTACTTTTGATCAGTATTTACATCATGGGGACTGCTTGATCCCGTTGTGAGCTCCTGAAATCCGAAATCAGATTTAGATATGATCCTTTTGTGAAGTGATGTAGCCTGGTCTTGTGCTTGCTCATTAACGAGGAACAACGCTAATCACCAACTTAGTGCAGGTCACAATGCAAGGATTTGCTGCTAATCGTTGGACTCGAGAATTTGGGTGAGAAATCCCAACTTCTTCTCCCCATTAACTTAGAGCCAGTCCCTGGGGAAACAAGGAGCCTTGGAGAAAAATGGTTGCCTTTCTTAATCCACTGTTGGACAGCAGGGGGAGATAGTAAACAAACGAAGCACAGAATCTCTTGGCTGAGTGCCTGGGAAGGTGTTTTTTGTGTTGTTTTGTTGATGTTCACAAGGAGGGGCAGGAAATTGCTTTAAGCCAGCCAAGAATTTTTTCAAGTTGTGCTTTTTAGAACATGGACCTCTAAGAACAGGGTCTGGTTGGAGAAGAGTTTTGGGACATTCTGCCCTTTTCTCCTACGCCTGTACCCTCTCCCATTTTAGTTCTTACACTGCTGCAGGTCCTCCTCTTCATGGTGTACCTAGGACTCACCTGAGGCTTGGTGGCTGTTCTTGGTCTCTACAGGGTTTGTAGCCCCTGTCTGTTCGGCACTCAGCAGTCTGGGGCTTTCTTCGAGTGTTGCTGTGACTATTCGCTTGAGATCCGCAAGTCTCTCCTTCCCTTGAACCTCTGATGGGATCCAGTGTTAATGAGAGCTGTTGATCTAGTTCTGTTGCGTCCCCAAGGCTCATATGAAATCTGGATGGAGGATGTTATCCAACTATGGCTTTTCCCAAATGTAGGTAGACTCTTGAGAGATGTTGAGAAACCTGTTATTTAAAATCTTCTCCTTAAGCTCTTTGAAATGTTTGGCAGAATTGGTTGTGCTCTAGGGATCTGCTAGGAAGGAGTGAGGAAGGAATGTGGTTTTAGCTCTGTTATTTTTGAAATTCCCCTGACTTATAGCGCTGAGGCTTCTCACAAGTTGAAAGCTGAACCTCCAGAATCTATCTGGTGGTCTTAGGAACCCTTGGATTGAGAATTGGGGAGTGGGAAGTTGCTGACTGAGCTGTAGATGATTGCTGCAGTGTGACTGGCTGGTGAAATTAATAAATTCCTGACTATCCACCTCTTCCCTTGCCTGACCTCAAAACATTTAGGCCCACTTTGGCAGATCTCCTAGTGTCAGCTGCACCATTGCTGCCAGATGTGGGCAGCTGTGGACCTGCATGGAAGAGCCAATCAAGGGTGGGAATTTCCTGCTTCAAGGGACAAAGGTGAAGACGAAGGACTTGTAGTTCAGCGCCGCCATCCCCACCACCAGGCACAGAAGTTCATGTTTCCCATTATGATTGCAGTGGATTGTGAAGGAGCCATTAGCAAGCCTAGACCCTTGTCCATCATCTGAATAAGATTTTATCCTCCTTCCTCCATGACTTCACTTTGCATTCCTTCCACAGCATACATGTCGTGACATGGAATGTGGCCTCTGAAGCACCTCCTGCAGACCCCGATGATCTGCTTCAGCTGAACAACCAGAACCTGAATCTGGACATGTATGTCATTGGGTAGGTGTCTGCAGGGCCCCTTCACCCATCCTTATATCTGAGATCAGGTAAGCCTGACCCGTCCCAAGCTGTCCCCATGGGGAACTGCTGTAACCTGTCCTCCCTCACTCTGGAGTCTGAAGGCTGGGAGCTTTCAGCCTGCATCAGGGCCAGCCAGTGTCTCTTGTCCTGGGTCAACAACGGCAAGGGTTTGGTGATCAGCAGCCAGGGGAGGGAGAGATCATTCATGGTCATGAGAACCCAAGGCTTAAGAGTCTGCTGAGGGCAGCACGAAATGTCTGTCGCAGAGGCAGTGCCCTCGAGGCCAGGGGGAGAGCCTCTGACCTGGGATGGGCAGTTTGCAGGAAATGAACTGTGGAATCATGAGCCTCCTTTGTGACACTGCCTTTGAAGACCCATGGAGCAGTTTCTTCATGGATGTGCTTTCCCCTCTCAGCTTCGTCAAGGTAACTTTCAAGTTCATGGGCAATTGGGAAATGTGTCTTACCTCTTGTCACTCACCCCCAGTCCTTTGGTCTCCCACTCAGGCTTTCATGCTTTTCCCATCTATTTCAAGGCCTAAACCTCAGGTACATCTGGCTTCCTGAGGCTCCTGCCTGCCCTGTGCCTTTTCAAGGTAGTTGGAGCTGAGCTGGGACCCCAGGGGTTAGTTTATACTTTGATATTTTTCAGGTTAGGAGAATTCCTCTGGGAGGTGCAACGGGGCTTATTAACACTTCAGTGCCTACCCCGTCCCCAGCCAATCTCTCCTCACATGCCCTGCCTGAAATCCCTGAGTGTAAAAATAATTGCTACCGTTTATCAAACTCTTACTTAATGTTAACCATTATAAATAAGCTTTTTATATACATAATTTTTAAATCTTGAAATATGGATATTTTACAGATTAAAAACCAAGATTCAGAGGTCATACAAGTTCTCCTGGATGTGAATCCAGATCTTTCAAACTTCATAATCCATGTTCTTAACTACCATACTTATATTTACTGGTGAGCTCTAAGGCTGACAGGCATCCCATGGCTAACTGCTGGTATTAAAGGGTGTTCCCTGATTATAGGGGACATACATCTCAAATTCTCAGGAGCCCAGTGGTTAGGGGAGGGGAGATAGGTATGGGGGGAAGAGGTGGTCAGTATGAAGAGCCAGTATTCTCTGGGGAGTCTTTAGATCATAGGAGAATCCACAGGAAGGCTCTAGATTGCTGATCTTGGCCTCTGCCTTGCATAGCTAAGGAATGAAGCACACTCCCATTCAAAGCACCTAGTGCAGTGTTTCTTGAAAATACTAGAATTCCCCTATTTCTTTCACTGGGTGACTGCATTTCTTTAGAATTGTTATCCTAGTTTGCCTAAGGGTGTTGAGGCAAGAAAGAGCTTGAGTCCTCCCAAGGAGGGCAGAGCCAGGAGGAGGAAATACATGATTTGGTCTTGCAGCTGAGGCTAGAAAATTTCAGGCCTGAGCCTGTGGCTCCCTCTGGATCAAACTCAGGCCTCCTGTAGACATGGCTGGAGCTAGATCCTCTGGGAGGGCAAAACCACTTCTCTCTCACCACCCACTCCCTTCCTGAGACTGAAGGCCTCTCTGCACCTTGGCTAACTGGCAAGCAATTGATACTATCAAACTGAGCCAAGGAAATTAGCTTAGCTTCTGGCATGGACACACCGCATTGTACCCATGCCGCCTCCCAAAGTTGGGAGGCCAGCAGATGACCCTCCTTCCCCCTGCCAAGAATTGAGGTGAAGGGGTGAGTCCTGCTTGCAGCCTGTTTCTTGGGCGGGAGTTGACCAGCCATAGGCTGAGAAGCCTGGGACTAACTAACCCCCTTTGCTGGTTCCAGGGCTCCCAGCCACCTCCTACTTCATTTCCTTTAACTAGAATTTCCCCTACAAATCTCCTGCCTTTCCCCACAGCCCCACCCTTTCTCCCAATCTGAGGCTTTCCTGCCTTACTCTGCCCACCCCACCGCAAAGTAGACTGGTGCCTTTGTGGTAGAGCCCAGTGGTCCAAACTTGCTCTGTGGGTTAGAATTAAACTTGAAACTCCTCCTGAATTTTTTTTTCCCCTCCTGAATTTTTATCCATTCCCAGAGAGTCAGTCCCTCATAGTCCAGCCCTTCCCCCACTTTCATTATCATTTGTGTATATGAAGGGAAGAGGCCAAGACTGGGGGTGGAGGGTGGGGTTGTGGACACAATTGTAGCAACTGCTGCTCAATTGTAGGTTCTCAGGCCTCCCTTACTCAGTTCTGGGTTCGGGGTTCCCCCTGCTTTGACTCTCCACTGTGCCAGAGCTCCTGGCCTGCGGGATCAAGTTTCATAATTCCTGGAAGGCCCCAGTACACCCTCCCCACCCGGGGATTTCCTCCTTGGCCTCTACACCTCATGCTCCGGAAACAGCTACTCAAGTGGTGGGTGTAGACAGCCTAAGGCGGAGCTAGAGGGTCGCTGGCTACAGCCCATTCCCATGCACAGACAGCAGGGGTTTTGGCAGTCCCAGTCTTTTGATGTTGTTATCCAGGTAGCCCTAATGGTCCCTTAGTCTCCTTCAGCCCCAGTCCTTCATCTGTAAAACAGGGGCAGTGGTTCTTTACAGAGTTGGTGTAAAGATGAAATGTGACATAAAGCACTTCAGTAGACGTCTGCTATTCTCCCCAACCTGCGGACACATGTCCTCTGTATGTACTCTCATCCCCTCTGCATTGCCTTTGTGGATACCTGCCCGCCATCCTTAGTTATTTTGGAGGAGCATTTTCTTAATTTTTTTCCACTGAGCTATAACATATGCAGAAATTAAGTGTACAGTTTGATGGGTTTTTACACACACATACATCCGTGTTACACCAGTCTAGTCAAGAATCACAATATTTCCAGAAGTTTCTCTCATGTTCTTCCCCTGCATTTACTTTTAAGAATCTTTAAACTAAAAAATAATAGCTGCCAGTTAATCCTTCCAACATCTGTGAGATAGATTCCTGCTCTGTCAATGAGAAAATAGTCTGAGAGGCTTGCCAGTATCAAATACTAAGAATCCGAGCCAGGATTTGAACGCAGATCTGGCTGACTTCCAAGTCAGTGCCCTTAGCCACTATCATGTGTAGCGGCATTTCTCTTTGAGGCCCTGACCCCCAGGGGTGGTGGCCCAAGAGTACCCAGAGGACCTCAGGAGGACATCAGTGAGAGGAGCACCTAGGCATGCATGGGGCTGGGACTGAAGAGTCGATGCCCTTCTGATGGCAGGGTACCCTGGCAGCCTTGTCTTCTCTGTCCTCCACCCCCAGGCCCAGGCCCAGAAACTGAAACTTGCATCACTCCCCTAAGGGGAGTGACACCCTGAGACTTGAAGTGAGATACCAAAGACCCTGGGGCAGGGCACCTGTGTGGCACAGGGCCTGGCAGGGACGCACTTGGCCTGTGCAGAGAAATGAATGACCATTGCCCTCCCCTGTCCCGCAGGTCTCGTATGTCCGCATGCAGGGGCTCCTCTTACTGGTCTTTGCCAAGTACCAGCATTTGCCCTTTATCCAGATCCTCTCTACTAAATCCACCCCCACTGGCCTCTTCGGGTACTGGGTAAGAAATGAGTGTTGTTTGAGTCGTGAGCTGGGAAGGGCTGGGGGCTTTAGAGCTGGGCAACTGGAAAAAGGGGTGAAATGACTCTTGACATCCTGGCCAGGCTACTGCCCTGCCTACCCACTGTCCTGCCTCAGGGGGCGCTTAGCATCCTGAGACGGGTGAGCTGGGCTCCCTGGATGGAGCCGTCTCTCTGGGAAGCTGAGTGTCTGGCCCTGGGAGATCCTGTGGGAGGTGAGACAATCTCCCCTCAGGCCTGCGATGGGAAAAGAGAGGTATGTCCCACCCAGAGCAGCTTCCTACCCTTCTGGCCACCTGTCCTACCAGGGGAACAAAGGGGGCGTCAACATCTGCCTGAAGCTTTACAGCTATTATGTCAGCATCATCAACTGCCACCTGCCCCCCCACATGGCCAACAATGACCAGCGGCTGGAGCATTTTGACCGGATCCTAGAGATGCAGAGTTTTGAGGGACTTGACATCCCCAACATCCTGGATCACGAGTGAGCATGCAGTTACAAACTGCCACCCTGCCCTGTCTCCCACACCAGCCCAGGCTAGCGTCCTCTGCCCGGTCACTGCTACTCAGCCAGAGGCAGTTTGTGTTCCTCTCCCAGCCTCGTCCCTGATGCCCCATCTGCTCTCTTACCCAGCTTTGCCTGCCTGGGGTCTGGGACCCCTTCCCCTCCCCCTTCCCTTTCCTTTTCCCCTTCCCTGGCCCCTCTGTCCTGCTTAGAAGCTCTGGACACTTCTGAACATCCCAGGTTAAGAGCCCTGTGGTTCCTGAGGGCACCCGAAGGGCTGGTTCTCAGTCTTGTCTGGCAGCCAGTTGAGGGAGAAGTAGGGAGGGCTAGAGCCTGCTTTGTATTTGCCACTTTCCCCTCAGGGCTGGCCTCTTCGCTTACACAGTGGGGTGGGAGCCATGAGAACAGTCCCGTCAGGCCATGCCCTGGTCTTTACCTGGTCCTCTCCCAGCATCCGGCTTCTCACCTGCAGCCCCTGGAGTGAACAGGCCGGAGCCACCTGTTGCTCCTCCCTCCTCTGGCCTCACCACAAACCTGCCTTCTTTTCTTTCTGAAGCCTCATTCTCTGGTTTGGAGACATGAACTTTCGGATCGAGGATTTTGGGTTGCACTTTGTTCAAGAATCCATAAAACATCAGTGCTACAGGGACCTGTGGCAGAAGGATCAGGTATCAAGGGAAAGGGGTCGGGTATCCAGAGGGGTGATCTGAGCCCATGGTGGAGGTCCAGCATGAACGGTGTGGAGCGTTGCTCAGGTTCCCTAGGGCCTGTTCTCTTTTCCTGGTCCTCCGAAGCCCCTGCAAGGGGGAGTCTAACAGGGCTTGGCACCCAGGATGGGGCAGTCTATCCTGTCAGGGCCTGGGCTCATGTGGAGGAACCAGGGTACAGCTGCTGGGTGTGTGTTAGCATAGGGAGCGAGAAAGGCTTTGGCCTACTGTGCACCAACCTTCTTGTATCCCTGTCATCTTTCCCAGGCTTGCTTGCCTCCTAGAGGATGAGATACCACCCATTTGGGGGCCCCTGGCTACCCCAGCCTCCCCTCTGACACATGTCTGCCAGTGGCTCCCAGAGAGATGGAATTGAAAGCCCGGTCCCTGTAGTCCAAGGACTAGGCAATGGCAGGCAGCTGCCTTCCCTAGGACTGTGGGGTAATGTTTGCAAAAGGATTCAGCTGCTCTCCTGGGGGTGGGGATGGTGTGGGGATGGGGTGCTGAGGCTGCCACTGGGGCTGTGAGGAAGCGAAGTGGCATTGCTTAACTCTTGCCCCACCGTGTTGGCATGTGCTGATCTCTTAAACGGAGCATGGTGCTGGGCCATAGGGTTGGGACCATTGGGAGATGGGACTGTATCTTTCTCTACAGCTCAGCACTGCCAAGAGATGTGACTCACTGCTCCGGGAATTCCAGGAAGGCCCCCTGCTCTTCCCACCCACCTACAAGTTTGATAAGAACTCTAACAACTATGACACCAGGTGAGGGGGCTCCACCAGTAAGATCAGCCTGCCATAGATCTGGAATTAGCCTGTGAGGAGGAAATGGGGGGGGCCAGGAGGCCTGGGAAGTCATATTGTGCTGGCCCTAGTGGCAGTGGGAGCTGCCTCAGAATAGAAAAATTAGGGAAGCAGGAATAGATCTAGCCATCACCTCTCAAGAGTGACCGCCCCCCCCCCCATGAGTGCTGACTGTGGTGAGGTCTCAGATTGTCCTCAGAGCAGGAGGCGGGGAGCTGGTGCTGGCAAGGATGGAGCGTGGGCATTGGGGCAGGTAGGGCCAGTAGAAAGGAGGAGGCAGCTGATTCCTGACTTAGGAGGGGCTGCGTTTCAGCATTCTGGGAATCCTGCCCTGATTCCCTATGGATTTCTGGTCCTCCTCAGATGGGTGCTTGACTCAGCCAGTTACGAGTATTAAGTACCCCTGCCACAGCTGTGAGTGGGTCAGGTGCTGTTTAGGAAGGTGAAATAGTAGTCGTCAGTGGAGAATTTTATGGGGAACAATATAGAGACAGTACCTCCAATAGTTAGAAGCACAGCTCTGCGTCAGCGCCATGACCTTGGACAAGGTCTTTAATCCTCGATTTTGCCATCCATAAAATGGGGATGATAACAGTACCCACTTCGTGGGTTAAGGATTGAATGAGATCTTGCGTATGTATAGCCTGGCACCCGGTAAGCACTGTGATAACTGCCATTATTATTTTTAGATTCATACCTTTGGGTGGTAGTTTTACTGGAAACCTTTCTAAGAAGCTGACAAGGGGCCAGCTAACCACCAAAACCTTAGGTTTAGGGGAGAGAAGCAAAAGCAGCTCTGGCAAGAGGTCCCTGACCCAACTTAGCGCAAGGATCCTCATCTCTTTGCAGAAAAAGAAGAACCCCTTACAGGTTCTGGAGCTTTTTGTTTCACTTGAAGCAGCGCCTTCGTTTATTTCTCCTTTCGGAACTGTCGTATGAAGTGATATAGGAGGTCCTCCAGGGCGACCCAGGCCGCTGAGATGTAGGGGGTGAATGGGTATCTCCACAGCCAGGCCAGGGCAAGATGTAGAACTGCTGGCTCGGTGCTGGCAATGGTACGGCAGAGCCACACTGTCCCCGCCGAGGAAGAGGGAGAGCGTGAGCCATTTCAGGAGTGTGGAGCAAGACAGAGTGAGGTCATGACCAGGGCAGTGCACACAAGAAGAGGCCATGAACACGGGCAGCAGGGTCCAGCCTGGGCAACAGAGCAGGCCATAAAGGAGGTAAGAGGGCAGGCTCCGGCTGGCACAGGTCCACCACTGTAAAGAGACTGCCAGCCTCCTCGGCCAGCCATCGGAAATGAGAGTCATGGAAATTGTAAGGCCTTGGTGGAACAGGCTGGGGCCTTGGGGGCTGGGACCTTCCACCAATTGACTCTAAAACCTCCCTTGCCAGCAGGAAGATAGCTGCTGACAGGCCATATAGCCAGGTGTCCCTTTTCCCCCACGCCCAGGTATGGTAGGGAAACCACCAGGAGACTGGAAGTATTTGTGAATAGCTGGACTTAAGCCACAGTTGGCAGGGACTGAGATTGGGTAGACAGGCTCAGAGACGTTCAAGGACAGCCCCAGGTGGCTCAGTTAATGATGGCAGAGCTGGGGCTCAGACCTGATTCTCTGGACTCTGTGGCTCACGGTGCTTTTTTCCAGCCCACAGTACCTCCAGATTCACAGCTAGTTTTGCCAGCAGCAGCAAAAGAGGGCAGGAGCAGGGCAGCAAAGGCTTGCTAAGGAAAAGGCAGATATTTTTCTTTCCACTTAATAGATCCAGTCCACAGTGTGGTTGACATTACTGAGCACCTTTTATTGCCAGGTATTGTGCCAAGGGCTTTGCCTGCATCACTTCACTTAATTCATACCATATCCCTATCAGGTAGACATTATTGTTATTCACTTTTTACAGATAAGGAAACTGAGTCTTGGACTATCTAAGTAAGGTGGTGACAGAGTAGGTGACTGACCAAGAATTTGAACTTGAGTCTGTGTGACTCCAGACCCATGCACTTCCTGTTGCCTAGAGCCCAGGAAATGAAGGAATGTCTGAATAGGAACAGGGGACATTATAGGGGGATATCATAACTGATAAATTGCTGGTTGGGCCCAGGATCCAGAGGCAGCAGGGAGTTCCTGCGGTGGCCAGGGCCTGAGCCCCACACGAGGACAGAAATATTCCTGTCTAATCAGACCCGTGTTATCCTTGAAAAACAGTTCAGGCATCACCTCTACTAGAAAGCCTTCCCTGACCCACCCTTCTCTGTCTCACTGAGATTTCTCTCCTGCCCTTATTGCTACTACAAGCCTTGCACACACCATGCTGTCAATGTTGTGGGGTTTTTTGGGGTCCCCCCCCCGCTGAGCCATCCTGCCACCTGTTGGCAGCTCAGCGGCTGCTAAACACGGGCCAGGACTCGAACCACTGTTGCTCAGAGCTCAAACTCTTGGGCGAGCTCTTAACCAACTGAGCCACTCGGCCGGCCCTCAATGTTGCTTTTTAAGACACAGTGTGCCTTTCTTGCTGTACTGTGAATACCTGGAGTGCAAAAACCGGATCTGAGTTATGACCATTCCTGGGATGCAGCATAGTGCCAGGCATATGTTTGAATTGGGAGCCTAAGAGGACAAAAAGAAAAGCTATGGTATGTAAGGAGCAGCCAGCCTAGTAACGGAACCCACTCATAGCAAGAGATCCAAATAAGCACTGTCAGGTCCAGGAGTTGGCCCATAGGAGGTTCCAGAACTTTGTGGAAGTGCCAAAGGAGGTTGGAGTGAATGGTAAGGAGGCAGGCAGCTGAAGCCAGGGGGAGTCAGTCACGGTTGTCAAGGAGGCAGCAGAGTTTGGCAGAAAGAAGGGCAGGCGTTCCGATCAGTCAGCAGCATTGACGAGAGGCACCTTGAGTGGAGTCTGACCCAGCTGTACAAAGTGACTGTGAGTGAGTTGTGTGCAGGGCATGAGATGCAGCTTTGCCCAGCCACGGCAGTGTCCCTGAGCCAAGATGTAATGAGAACCGAGGTCAGCTCCATTACAGGGAAGGGTGAAAGGGCTGAGGGCAGGAAATCCTGTTAAAGCCAGGGTTTGTAATAGGGTTTTGTTACATGAACCCAGTCAACCTCTCTGCTAGGCCTGAGCAGAGGATACTGGGATCAGTCTAGTTGAGACCAATGTCCAGAGTTCAATGAGACACTTAGAAATCTTCTACAGGGAGCTGAAGGGAAAAGTACTTTCAGACCTAGAAATGGAACATACCACTACTTTTGAATCAGTAAATTGGTTCAGTTTTCTAGGCTCTTAAGCCAAGAGAATTTTGCAGAGCTACTTTGTTTTAATTTTTTTAAAGTAAAGATATATTAATCTCTAGAAACAATTCTTGTATTCAGTGAGCTACTTTGTTTTAATTTTTTTAAAGTAAAGATATATTAATCTCTAGAAACAATTCTTGTATTCAGTCATGACCGTTCAGCCAAAAAGCATTAGTGAGGCCCTCTTCTGGTAACACACACTGTAAAACAGCTCTGGCTGCTCTGATTTGGCCACTGTGGGGCAAACAGGTGGAGACAGTGGAGTGCAGTGAAGGGAGCGGGGACTTCACAGCAGATCTGGGCAAGCATCCAGCTTCCTCCACCTGGACTGGGTGACCTCTCTGAACTTCAGTGTCCTGTAGGAAAAAATGTGACATTCTTCCAGTGTTGGAAGGATTAGAACAATCTGAGATACCTGTCGCGGTGCCTAATGACCAGAAGGAACCCATGTTTAACTATGTTATTGGGGGAATATACAAGGTGTGACAATTAAGTTTGCAAACTCATCCTAGAAAAAGTGCTACATACCTCATTGCTGACTGTCACTATGATCACCTTTGAAGTACTCCCCTGAAGCTATGCACTGATGCCAGCGCCTAGTCCACCCTTCAAAGCAGTTTTGGAACTCTTTTTTTGGATTGGCCATCAGAACTGTCGTCGTTTTGCCCTTGATGTCCTGAATGTCATCACAATGTCTTCCTTTCAATATTTCCTTTATCTTCGGGTAAAGAAAGAAGTCATTGAGGGCCAGATCAGGTGAGTAGGGAGGGTGTTCCAACACAGTTATTTGTTTACTGGCTAAAAACTCCCTCACAGGCAGTGCCGTGTGAGCTGGTGCATTGTCATGATGCAAGAGCCATGAATTGTTGGTGAAAAGTTCAGGTTGTCTAACTTTTTCACTCAGCCTTCTCAGTATTTCCAAATAGTAAACTTGGTTAACTTTGCCCAGTTGGTACAAATTCATAATGAATAATCCCTCTGATATCCAAAAAGGTTAGCAACATCGTTGCAATTAAGTTTGCAAACTTAATTGTCAGACATTAAATGTAATATTTAATTTTTACACATTTATTTTGCTTATTTCTTGTCTTTTGTTTGTCAAGCTCCTCAAGGACCTTGTCAGTTTTATTTATTGGCTCTCTAGTTGGCCTGGTGTATATAAGGGCTCAGTAAATCTTGTTGACAGTATGAGTACTGCAGGTGCCCAGTGGTGAGCCTGGGCCAGGCCGTGGAAAAGGAGGACAGGGAGACAGGCCGAGAGGTACTGAGGAGGAAGGAGAGACAGGTTGTGGTCAGGACTTGGGGACGATCCTGACGTGACAGCAAGTGTGGGTACTTAACTCTGAGAGGGAAGTTGGGGAGGGGGGGATGCTTTGAAAGGGAGAGTGGTGCATTCCTGTGGTTTATTACCAAGTATTGTTGGACACAATGTCCCAGAGGTTCATAGATTGAGTGTCTATAGTCTCTGGGATAGAAATACTCCTTTCCGATGTCCTCTGAACAGTGAATGGTGAAACAGTCCAAGGAGGCCCAAGCAGATGTGGTTTAGCCAGTTACCCCTTGACCACTCCCTTGACGCGCTTTAATTTATTTAATCCTCACAGTGGTTCTTTGAAGTAAGTACTGTTATCACCCCATCTTAGAGTTGAAACTGAGGCTTGGAGTGATGTCACTTGCCCAAGGGCACATAGCCTTTTTATTTATTTTTTTAACTATATTACTGGCTTATAAAAGGGTATAACTGAGGAGCGGGCAGGTGGAAGAGATGCATAGGAGAAGGTATGGGGAAATGGTGGGGAGCTTCCATGCCCCCTCCCCAGTTTATACATGTTCACCAACCCAGAAATACATGGCTCTTACTTAACAGGGCAGAACCTTCCCCCAACTGGTCTCTGATTCTAGAGTCGGAGTTTACCACTGAGATTCCATTCTGCCTCTATTGCTAGAAAACCTGCTGTTGAAGTGACAACAGTATGTCAGAAATGTTTATTTAAAATAGTAATTGAAGGGCCCACCGAGTGGCGGGTTGGTTAAGAGCTGGCTTGGGATTCCAGCTCTGAGCAGCAGGGCCCCGGTTCGGATCCCACATGAGGGCCAGTGACACTGCCCTCTACAGCTAAGATGCTGAACAACAGCTCAACCTGGAGCTGTGCTGCCGTGAATCGATGGTGACAGGGTAGGCTGCAGCCCCTGCTGCAGTGGGCTGCTGTGAGCTGCCGTGAGCGGCCATCCAATGGCCAGCGAGCGACTACCTCACCCAGGAAGAGCTCAATGATAATACCAACATGGGCCAGTGAAGCGACATTCTCCACAACTAGACTGAAGAACAAAAGGAGAGCAACTTGTCTGTTCCCCTTTCCCCGATTCCCCATCGCCGTTGCCCTCCCCCAGTTCCCCAATAAAATCTTTAATAAAATAAAGTAGTAATTGAACAAAAAAAATAGCATTTCAAACTGATTATAAACATATAAAGCTGTATATATTAAGATTAGATGAGTGTTTTTAAGGAGAGAGATTGAGCTTGTTTTTTTTAGTTTGGGTTCACAGGCAGTTGTTGAGTACCTACTATGTGCCAGGTCTGTACTAATGCTCACGACACACAGGAGACTCCAAGAGCCAGTCCTTGTGGAGTCCCTCTGAGTTCACATGCTAACTGATAGGCTGACTTGCGCAAACAGAAAACAACAATATAATGTAATTGCAGAAGTACTGGTGTAAAATGCTTTGGAAGGAGAGGTCAGGGACAGCTTGATGACAAAGACAACATTGGAATTGGGCCTCTCTCTGTGAAGAAGGGTGTTCCAGGCACAAAAACTTCTAGAAGAAAGGGCCTGAGGCTTGAGAGAATCACCGGGGCGGGGTGGGTCTGGGGCAGCGGGGCGAGAAGACGGGCGTCAGGCTCCTAAGCACCTTGAAAGCCATACTTGGGACTTGAGATTTATTCTGGAAGCATTGAAGATTTCTTCTTAAAGGTTTTGAAATAGGGAATCATCTGACCAGGCTTTTCTGTGCTGTGGGTTCATTCAGAACCAAGGGAGAAGAACCCAGAAACAGCAGCTGTTCCCCACCCCATTCCAGGACTCAGGGTCTCCATTTGGAGAGCGGGGCCTGGGTGCCCAGCCTGTGTTAGAGAATGCCCAGTAGCTGCCTGTGCAGGGTTGGATTAGGAGTCAGACTTGCCTGTCGTGGGGCAACTACAGTTATCTAGGGAAGGAAAAGCGCTCTCGTCTCCAGGGTTGTTGGTCGTCTGTCCTGCTCCTCAGGGAAGATCAGGTGGGAGGACTCTCAGTTGAAGCCTGAGAACAAAGAGCCATAATAGGCAGCGTCTACTGAGAGCTTATTTTGTACCAAGCACTGGGCTAAACATTTTTTTGTGCTTTATCTCAGTCATCTCAGGAACACTATGAGGTAACTCCTGTTATTATCTCCACTTTGCAGATGAGGAAGCTGAGGCCTAAGAGGGGCTGGCCAGGTGCTTTGGAGTGCATGCTCTGTGTTCATGCTGCCTAGCCTTGAATCCTGGCTCCCCCACTCAGTAGCTGTGTGACTTTAGGAAAGTCACTTTCTCGCTAAGACTCAATCTCTCCAACTATAAAGAGAAGTAAACAGGTCTGATTGCAGCCATGCTGGGAGCTTCCCCTACATGTCTCCCTTTCCTTTCCTAAGGTCGTACCTTTAGTGAGGGAGAAGCCATATTCCAGCCCAGGGTCTGCCTAACTCCCAAGTGCAAACCTTAGCTTGTTTGATCTGCTTTTATTCAAGAAATAGGAAAAGCTTTAAAATGGAATGCTTCTGAGTCACAATTTGAGTCATAAAAATGTGGACTAGACTGAGGGTCGTTGGCTGAGTCTGACAAAGGCCAGCATGCCTTTGATTCTGTTGGGCACCCTCCTGCCTGCTGCCATGCTGTGCTTCAGCTCTGGCCCAGGGGGCTCATGGCCACAGAGAGACCCCGGTGTTAGCGGCTCCAGCAAGCTCATGGGTTGCCTACTGCTATCCCGCCAACCCTCTTTTCTCTCCCCATTCTTCCTCTTCTCCCACCCCTAGTGAGAAGAAACGAAAGCCTGCGTGGACCGACCGCATCCTATGGAGGTTGAAGCGACAGCCCTCCACTGGCTCCAACACCCTCAGGCTGCCGGACCCCCACTTCTCCCTGTCTCTGAAGAGCTACGTCAGCCATATGATGTATACCATCAGTGACCATAAGCCTGTCACCGGCACCTTTGACTTGGAGGTGAACTTCTGGGCTGCCTGGCACTTAGCAGAGGAGCAGCCATGCTGGGCCGCATTCCCAAACCCTCCAGCCCTGGATTCTAATGTCAGCAGATCCCCCAGGGGAGACCTGTGAGGGTGACATGACACCAGGTCAGGTGTCCCAGCTCTTAGGAGCTGTTGATGGCTCTGTCTGTCAGAAACGTGTTCAAACCCTTTGTGAATAGGTTTCCATTTCCTCTTAGTACGATCCCTTAGGGCTGAGTTCCATTATGCTTATTACCTACGATGTGAAGTAAGACTTCCTTTGATTTGTCCTGAACTTATCTGGATCAGGTTGCAAAGGGAGCTCCCTTCATCCTTGTATTTTGCCATCTAATGACCAAGGCAGTGTTAACCTTCCAGCTGCTGGCTGCCCTCAGCCTTCACCTTTTCATACTGGCTTGTCTGTCTTTATACCATTTGTTCCCTCTACATGCCTAGAACTGTTCTCACCAGAGGCACCCTCCCTCTGCAAAACTGAATTTGGAGGTTTGGGTCAGGAACCCAGGAGGCCTGAGAGCAGCTGCCTGGCTTCTTAAACCTGTCAGCAGCTCCCCGCCCCCATTGTCCCGCAACCTCAGCCCTCAGCACTGGGCTCTGCTTCGTTACCCACCCAGCCCTCAGCCCCGTCCTCCCTGACAGGGCAGCCTCCCCAGACAAGCCTTTGGCCCTTCCTCTTTCCAACTGGCCAGCCAAGGTCTGCTGCTTCCTCAGGGCAGCCTAGCAACATTCTGCGCCCGCTGCCCTGGCAGCCCACCTCCGCACTCTGACCCTGGCTTGGTTGTAAGGGCACAGTAAGGACATTCATCTCAGAAAAGGGAATGATGCTGTGTACTTTCATCCCCCTTCTCACCCTTGTGTGTAGCTGAAGCCATTGGTATCTGTCCCACTGATTACCCTGGCGCCTGAGGGCCTGTGGACCGTGGAGGACATGCTGATCAGCTACTCCTTCACCCAAGACTTCATCAGCAGCTTCTGGGACTGGATTGGACTGTATAAGGTGATGTGACGGGCAAGGCAGGGAGTCCCTCAGCCACAGCCTCTGGTTTATTCATCCTGAGGGGTCATGGGAGCTGCACACAGACTGAAGAGCTCACCTTCACCCACTCCAGGGGTTCTTGCCCATCTCGGGGCTGGCAGTGAAAGGGAGGGGGCATACAGCATGATGGCCCAACCTAGGAATGAGACGATCCTCTCTTTAGGACTTGCCGTAGGTCCTGTGTGCTCCCAGTCCACTAACCACCCATACCCCTCCCACAGGTGGGGTTTCGCCACATTAATGACTACGTGTCCTATGTCTGGGTCAGGGACAACGAGGTCTCCTTCAGCAACGGGCTGAACCAGGTACCTGTCCCCCTTCCTAACATAGGTATTCCACAACTCCAGCAGTTCGGCTTGTCTGAGCGCTCCTCTGTCTTCAGGAACACATAAAAGGCTTAATAACTTGTTGCTGAGAACTGGGTGGGACCCAGGCTATAGAGCTGACCCCATTCATGTCCATCCTCCCCTCCAGGTATATATCAACATTGGTGATATCCCTGAGACTGAGGACCAGTTTCTCCTCTGTTATTATAGCAACAATCTACGTTCTGTGGTGGGAATAAGCAGTCCCTTCAAGGTAAGGGATGCTGGTGGGGATTTGAGCTTGAGCCCTTCATCGGTTCCCCGAGGCCAAGGGCCTAGGAGTCAACCCGTACCTGACGCCGCAGCAGTTGGCGAATGGGAGTGATGGAGCAGTGCGGAGGAAATGTGCTCTTTCCCCTTCCACTCACTGCCTGTTTTATCCCTGCAGCTCCAGCGTCACACCTTCTTGGAGCAGGACCCACTGGGTGAAGCCCAGCCACAGATCTGAGCTGGGATGAGAGGGAATCCAGGGCGGAGGCCAGAGCTGGCAGCCAGCTCTGCTCACCACTGCCAGGAGCACTAGGGGCCCGGCCCAGCCCCTTGAGGAGGCAGCAAGTATCCTTCACCTCCCAGGGGAAGCTGTGGCCACACTCCTTTGCTCTCTCCAGTCCAGACCTCTGGAATTGGCCACTTAAATACAGGTTTCATTGCTGAGATCTAAGTGAAACCAGCTAGTTTGTCAACAGAGAAGACCTGGGGACAGTCCACCGGATGTGGGAAGGACCCTGCAGCCTGCATCTCATTTCTTGGTTTTCCCCACATACACTTCCAGTCCCGCCCAAGCAGGCCTGCCAGGCACATGCCCCATCTGGCACAGGCCTGCATTCTTATCACGCCATCCTGGGCCTCAGGCTGCCTGGGAGGTGGAGATGCTCACATTTGTACAGGCTCCTTAGACTGGTTGGTGCAAACAGCATTGGCTTCCAGGAGTCTTGGCATCTCATTGCCTAGCCCCCTAAGGGATGGGCAGAGGGTCTGGGATCCTTGGTTTTAGCAGAAGCAGTATGACCAAGTGGGCAGGATAGAGGGGCCCCTCTACCCAGGCTCTTAGGTTGCGGTTCTGGGCAGATTGATGACTATCCTTCTGCCTGCACTCCCCTGCCCCCATGGAGTCTGACTGAGGAAGTCCCAGGACCTGAGCAGAGAATTGGACCCAGGTTCATTTCTGCTGGTGGGTCAGGCTCCATGCCCCCAACCTGCCCTCTTGTGAAGGGTTGGCAGGTGGTAGAAGACTATGGCCACAGCCTTTTCCAGGGTGGTCTTTGCCCACTCAGGCGCATCTGGCCCTTCCTTTACCTGTAGCCCCTGGTCAAAAACCTGCCCTCCCTCTAGACCACTCTGGGACCTAGAAGTTGGGGGAAGGTAGAGAGGAGAGCTGGAATCAAGACGTTTTGGAGAATCTGGTCCTGGGCATCTTCAGAGAGCATTCTCCAGGTGCTATGTGGACTTGGCTGTCCCTGCTCCTACCACTTGACTCCAGCCACTTGTGTCTCAATGGCCCTTTTCCCAGGAGAAGACACCTCAGAGAGCCTGCTCTCTGACTCATGCCAATCCTACAACCTGAGACTGAAGAACACTCTAGTTGCGCTACGTTCCATATTCCACCCTGGGAGCTGTGTGTACCATCAAGAGCTGTTCCCCGGCTTCTGGTGGCCCATGGCTCTCTGTGTTCTGGGGGATAATTAGAAACATGGCTTTTACACTTGTGTGTGACTCCTTCATGATGGTGATGGGAAGGGGCACTTGGTGATGGGCCCTTGCTAGACTCCAGGACAGGATCCCCGTAGATCCAGATGAGACTTTTTGTGTCCGAGAGTGGCAGACGTTGCCTGGATGGGAACGGGATGAGGGTCTGGGATGGTGGTCCTTTGGGTCCCTGGCCCATAGGAGGCATGTTACCTATGCTATTGGGCACTTAATTTACTCTGCTGCTAAATTGAATGGGTTTCTTAAAAAACTCCAACTCTTGGTAAAGGTGCTGACTCTGCTCTCGCTGGCCCATCCCTCCTCAGCTGCCACTTGCTCACACCTTAGTCTTGAGCATTGGTGCTGGGTTAAACTATCCAGAAATGTCATCGTTTCCCTCTACCCCACATCCCCCCTACCCCAAAGTTCCCATGGTAACCTCTGTCCCTGCCCCCAACACACACACCTGAGGAACCCTGAACTCTTGCACTTGCCTACTTGATTCCTTCTCACATACACAGCCATCATGGGTGCTGCCACATAGCACTCTTCATTTGGCAGACAGGGAAACCACAGCTCAGAAGTGGCATGATCCTTTTGAAGTTACACAGGCAGCTGTGGTATCATGCAGGACCAGAAATACAGGAGTTGGGTCAAGACCTGGTTTTGAATCTCCATCTCTACCAACACAGGAGTCTCAGTTGTCTGTAAAATACAAATAATGTACCTATTCACAAGATTATTGTGAGAGAATAATTGTAAAAAAAAAAAAAGATGCAAAGCAACATTATTATACCTACCTGGGGGCTCGGTCTCAGGGCTCCTGACTCCAGAGGTCCCCTGTTTCTCTTGGTTGTGGAGTGTGCTTGTCCTCCACATGTCCACCTCTCCCTTTCCCCCTTAAGTCTTCATGTCCTACTCCTGCCTCCTGTTGCAGGCCCCTCCTAGCCTGGCAAGGGTGAGTCCAGCAGTGATTGAGAGGCGGGAAGGGGAAGGGGGAGTGCTTTCCCTCCTCTTGGCCCCAGTCAGGATATGGCCGCTCTGGGCCCAGCCCTGACCCACTGGGTGGAAACAGGAAATATGTGAGACTTGGTGTGTGCTGGGTCTGTGCCTGGCTCCATGGCTGATAAGGGCCATTGTGTGGCTGCCGGGGATGAGTCTGCCCTGGATAGATGTGCTTCCCGGAGGAAGGAAGGAAGCGTTGCTGGTCTTTCCTGGGCAGGGGAAGCTGTGAGGAGGGAAGAGAAGGGGGAAGGTGCCTGCCTAAGGGTCTGTCGAGGCCAGCGCAGGTCACTGGACTCCACCCCTCCTATGCCAGCGTTTCCCTCTGGAAAGGTTACTGTCCCCCATCCACTTCCTCCTTCTCACTTCCTATAAGAAATGGCTGGAGACCCAAGGGCTCAGTCCCAGGCCAAGAAAGTGTCAGCTGTGATTTAGCAACAATAAAGATAGAAAAACAGGAACATTCAGGGTGGGGGGCACCTGAGGGTCTCATGGAAAAGTAAGCAGTGAACAGGGCTAAGGCTGCTCACAGCCAAGGAACCCAGGGATCAATCTCCGAGCCAAGAGTTTGAGGCTCCAGAGGAAGGCGGGACGGGGCTCCTCACAGTGCCCTCCTGCCTTTTCAGTTAACCCCCTCTGCCCAACATGGCCAGCCCCCAGCAGCCCTGGCCTTTCAAACTCAAGGGGCTCACCTGCTGCTGTGGAAGGCAGGCAAACTAAGGGGCTTGCGAGAGGGGCAGTGCCTGCTGATGGATCCTCTTGGCTTAGAGCAGGATACGCATTCTGGTTTTGGGGAGTGGTCACTGCTCTCCAGCTGATACCAGTTAGTAGGCAGCAGGAGAGGCCTCCTATCCTTTGACCTGGAGCTGGTGGCTGCATCAACTACCCTGGTTACCTGGGACAACAGGCATTTCCTCCATCCCTCAGCCCCTCCTCTTCCTGCCTCAACCGGCTGGGCCAACAGGCCTCCCAATCAGACCTGGGCTGCTCCAGCTGTGTCCTGAGGAGCTGGACCAGACACATCCCCTGGGGCTAGAGTTGAAGCTGAACCAAGTGACCATCCCAGCGTGCGACTAAATTCCTGGCTCCAGGAGCAGCCAGAGCCAGTGGGCAGGCAGGCAGGCTTTTGCTCAGAGGCCCTAGTGCTCAGCACGCTGGCTATCCACAGGCGGAATGGCACTGCAAGTGGAGCTGATCCCCACCGGGGAGATCATCCGTGTGGTTCATCCCCACAGACCCTGCAAGCTTGTAAGCTGGGATGCTCTGGGCTGGGAGGAAGGGTGGCAGTGTCTCCCCAGGGACCAGCAGCCCTCTCTCTCTCTCAAGCAAACCCCTCAGGAAAGAGGTGAGCAGTGGGGCGGGCTTCAGATCCTTGGTGGGACAGGAACAGACTGAACAAAAGGGGAAAGTAGAAGGAAGGGGTAAGGTTTTAAGCGCCACTATTAAAGAAGGACCACTAGAAGCAGGGTTTTTCAAAGTGGGGATCTGGGTTTTAACCCCTTCTGCTCCCTGATTCTCAGTAGGCTGGGCTATGAGCTGGGCATAACAACATCTAGGGGACAGGGCTGCTCTGAGGTCAAAGGACTTGTGCATGTAAAGCTCCAGGCGCATAGTACACACTCTGTTAATGCCTCCCCATTCCCAAAGAACTGGGACTGGCCAGCTCAGAGCAGTAGCATGGAATGGACAGAGGTTGAAGGGAGAGAGGTAGTCGCAAAAGGGTAAGAACCGACCTGGCCCTGCACGCAGGGTAGGGTCTGGCTTGCTCTGGGGATGCAAAGGGGCCCTAGGATGAGGAGGAAGAACCTTATCAGACGCACCCACCTACCCACTCAGCACTGCAGCGAGTGGGCTGGGTCTTCCCTGGAAGAGGGAGGGTGTGTGTGTGTGTGTGTGTGTGTGTGTGTGTGTGTGTGTGACTGTGACGCGCCTCATCGCGGGAGCTGGTTGCCGAGTGTGCAGTACCAAGTCTCCGCGGATGCGGGCGGGGGCCGCGACCAGGGCCCCGGCCTCGGCCGGCCGGCGCGGGGTGGGGCGGGGCGGGAGGGTGCGCGCGCGCGCCCGGGCCTGGGCCCTGCCTGGGATGACGACAGGCAGCGGCCCGGCCCCGGGCGGGCCCTGGGCGGGGAGAGCTTGCCGGGGCCGCGGACTCCAGAACCGGCCACGCCGCCTAGCCTGGCCCCCGCCCGCGCACCCAAAGAGCCGAGCCGGTGGGTACGCTGGTCGCGGACGCGGGGCGGGCAGCAGACGCGTGGCCCCGGGAGGCCTCTGCTGGCGCGCAGGATGGGGGAAAGGGCAAGTGGCTGGGCGCCGAGCCAGGCCCAGAGCTACCGTGCGGGAGGCGGGGGTCGCGGGGCCCGGGGATCGCTGGGGCTGAGGGTCGGCTTGGCCCGGCCTGTGCCGAGTCCCAGGACCCGGTGACGCCAGGGCTTGGCCTGGTGGAGACTTGGATTACTTGCAGGTAACGTGAGGACGGGAAGAAGCTGGGGTTCCGGGACCCAGGCACCCAGTTCGCCCTTTGGCCAGGCTCGGACTCTGCCTCTGGGTTCCGGAGAGGCCTCCCGAGCCCCGCCCCTTCCCGTTCCCCGCCCCCCAGGCTCCGCGCGCCTGGGCGCGTGTGACTGTGGCGGATGGGGGGCTTCGAGATGAATGAGAGAATGAATGGCTGGCCCACGGCCTTATTCAGCTGCCGGCATGCTCTGGCCTCCTGCCTCTCACTGTTGGCTCTGTGATTCATTCATTAACACAGGCGTCCACGAGGGGTTATTGAGCCCCCACTGTGTCAAGCTGGGTGTATGTCCCAGGCTGAAGCAGTCTTTTCTGGGAGACTGACCAGGAAACCAGCGATTAGAGCATAATGCGATAAATAGGGGCCAGAGTATTGGGGGGAGTCAGGAAGGGGTTCTGGAGGAGGTGATACCTGAGCTGAGTCTTCAAGGATGACTAAGAGTCAGTCATTTGGGGAGGGGAAGTGTGCACAGAGGCAAGGAAGCTGCAGGTGCAGAAGCAAGAAGCTTGAAGAGCCACGTGTGGCTAGTGGCAGGGGCTGGAGCAGCTCATCCTGGTTGTGTGTAGTGGTGAGGGAGGCATAGGGAGAGAAGGACTGGAAAGGGGCACCCCAGTGGTCACACAGGAATGTTGGAGCAGTGGGATAAACTGAGGAGGAGGGGAAGGAGGCGCTGGAGTCCATATGCCTGGCCTGCCGAGAAGCAGTAGGTGTGAAATACAGGCTTGGCACATGGACTGGTGCCCTATAAACCTTCACTATTAACATGAGATGTTAACTGATCGGATTGTATTTGTAAATACCACAGGCTGCTGTGGGAAAACTGACTAAAAGGAGGAAGGCAGGGAGGCCAATTTAGAGGCTGCTGCTGGTCCAGGAGCAGAACAGGGATGGAGGAGCACAGGGGAGGTTTTAGCAGGTGTGAGGAGTGGAAGAAGGAGGGCAGGCCTTTTGATACCAGGTGATAGTGACTAGCTGGAGGAGCCTCCCTCCTCTCTACATATAGGATATTGAACAAGGAGAGCAGGTTGGGAGGTAAGGTGCTCTGTTTACTTCTGCTGGACCACCAGGCAGAGGTGTCTGGCAGGCCAAAGACGTATGGTTCTGGACCTAGATTGTACAGCCCTTGACTGGGGCCCTGTGAGCAATTAGATAGAGACCCATCCCCCCCCCCTCGCAACAGTTCCCAAGAGTCTGGAACAGTCCTTGAAGGGGCAGCCTGGGCCCAGGCCTGAGATATGTTTGATAAATACAAATTGAGCACCTGTTCTGTTTCCAGCACTGCACTGAGGGTGAGATAGGCTATGGTTCTTTCCACTGCCCTAACAGGCCAGGTGGCTGCCTCAGTAAAAATCAACTTATGGCAGCGATCTGGGGGTCCTTAGAACACCCTTTCCAGACTCATGTGGCCCTGGGCTGAGGGAACACTTGAGTCTGCCCATTGTCCTCCCCACTCCTCCAGAGGTCAGACTTGGGGGCACCTAGCCCACACTAAGTAAATGGCACTCAGGTCTGCTGGGACTGCCCCATGCCCACCTCGGGCCATGGCTACACCCCAGCCTACACAGCGAGCCAGCCCCTAGGTCCAGGGCCGTGCTGGGGGCCCAAAGGCCATGGCCCACACTCCCTAGCTGCTACTCCTAAGGCCTACTTGTCAATAGTCACACAACACCCATAGGGTTGTGTACTGAGCATTACAGTTGGGTTACTGAGGAAGGTCACAGCCTAGCAGGATAGCAGTTAACCCTCACAGAGGAGCTTAGAAATCCACCAGCCCTAGGTGGGCCTTCCTTCCGCAGGGCAGCCCTGAAGGAGTACTGAGTGCTCGAGTTCCCGGTTCCAGTTCCACCCCTCCTTTTACTAGTCCTGAGTTCTTAAACAAGTCATTCACCTGCCCAGCCTCAGTTTCCCCGTGTGTATAATGGGGGTACAATACAAACTCATGGCTTTCCTGGGGGCGTTGAAGGGAGTTCAGTAAGACAGCGCTTGGAACGCAGGAAGCGCCTGGCGCTGCAGCTTTCGTCGCAGTGTCTCTCACCCTCGGTTCCTCGCCTCCCTACCCCCTTCCCCGGCTGGCGCTTCTGTCCAGAGAGGCGGGGCGGGCCGGGGCCGGAGCTGGGGCCGGGCCGGGCTGGGGCTGGGGCTGGCCCCGAGGCCCGCCCAGCAGCATAGACGCCCCCTCCTTCCGCCGCCGGGCGGCGGCTGCGGGGGCGCCAGAGGGCATCCAGGGAATGCGGCGGCGCGGCTCGCAGTGGGGGGTGGCCGGCCGGACCCCTCCGCACGCGGATTCCCCTCATTCCAGCCGCCTGACGCAGCAGCTGGCGGGAGGGCACTGCAGCCGTGAGGCTCCTCCCTCTCTCCGGCTCCTCCCCTCGGGTCCCGGAGCCCAGTACCAGCTTACTGCTGGGAGCCGCGCTCCTGGTGGGGCTCACTCGACCCCCTTCCCCCAGTCTTCTAAGGCACACCCCACCCGGAGTGGGCTGCAGGCTGAGTCCCTTCCGCGCTCCTGCTCCCTCTGGAGTTTAAACCCGGGGGCACAGCAGAGGGCGCCCCCTCCCGCCCCGAGCCAGCCTATGCGGATGGTGTGCCCTTCGTTCCCACTCATCTCCCAGCTGTGCGCGGTGGCACCCAGTCCCCTCGCCCCCTCCAGAGGGCCCCATCTCCCAGCTGGCGCCCGCCCCGTGGGGTCCCCCGGGTCGCGGTTCCGGCCGAGCTGTTGTTCTTGAGGTAATGAGCCTTTCCCACGAGGCTGCAGCCCGCACCTGCCGCAGTCTCACCCCCTCCTCGGAGATCACGGGTCCGAGGATGGGGCGCTGTGGGGCGCTCAGTGGCTTTGGGTTCCGGCTCTGCCGTCTTTCCCCTAGGACAAGTCAGTGTCCCCCATACTACGCCCCAGGTTTTTTATCTGTCAAATGGGGGTCAGGTGAAGCTCTTGAGAGCTCTTTGTAACTGACCGACATGCCCGAGGGGCTTTCCCCACTAGATAAGTTTGGCCTGAGGCCTGGCTCTTAGTAGGTCTAGCCCCTGTCACGTGTGGAATGAATGCCTGACCGAGATAGGGAAGTGGTGTTTATTAAGGGCTTGGGAGGTGCCTTAGCGCTGTATGTAAGCCTTCTGAACAACCCTTTTAGATAGGTATTAGCTTCATTTTAAGAATGAGAAAGATGGTCCGAGAAGTTAAGTGTCTTGCTCGCAGTCATACAGCTTGTAAGAAATACCCCAGCCTTTCGCAAGCACTAGCCATCACAACCCCACTAGCGGTGGGATTTGAGCTGGAGTTCACCCCTCAAGCTGGTGCCTCCCCAGAACCCAGCGAGGGTGGGGCTCCTGGGGGATGGTTTGAGAGAGGGAGGGTGTCCTGGGCAGAAAGTTTGGAGGGATCCAGAGGGACCAGAGAGGTAAGCCCCCTCCAGAGGAGGGAGAGAGGTGAGGAGACCCTGGGGCACAGAAGTCCTAGTTGGGGTGTCCAGGATAGCAGAAATGGGTATTGGTCCAAGATGCTGGGAAGTCGGAAGTGTTTCCCAAATGGGAAACTGAGACCTTCATAAGGGTCTGGCACACACCGTGCCCAGCAAAGGCGCCCTGGGGCGGTCCCTGTCCCTGGGGCGCGCGCTCTGTGTTGACGCGGGAACCTAACGAGATTTTCTTGGGGCTTCAAGACGCGGAGCCCACCCCCCAGAGAGGGTATGGGAGTGGACAGTGTCCCGCACTGAGGCTCCGCCCGCCTGGGCGCGCCGGCCGTATTTGGACATTTCGTTCTATTTTTAACTTTGTCCCGACTCGAAGTTCGGGGAGGAGGAGGGAAATCCTGCTTCCTCCGCGACCCAAGGGCCTCAGCCCCGGTTCTGCGCCTAGCCTGGTGTGGTGTAGTGTAGACACAAGCCCGGAAGTGAGTTCCGGGTCGGTGTAGACGCGGCTGCCGCGCGAGTTCCGGGCCCCACCCTGGAACCAACGACGTTCCTCCTGGAAAACCTGACTCAGGCGGAGCCCCTGCCCGGAGGGGAGCCCCGCCCCCGCCCCGCCCCGAGATCACCCTTAGTTCCTACCCCCCCACCCCCGCTAACTGGAGAGGGACCCGGGAGTCCGAGTCCCGAGGGATACGGGGGTGGCGGGGGAGTCCCGCGCTTCTGAAGCTCGCGGAGGGGGCGGCGCGGGGGGCGGGCCGGCTCCTCCCTCGCTGCCGCCGCTGCCGCGGAGCCGGGGGCTGAGAGCACCGGCAGCGGAGCGGGGCGCCAGGCCGGCCCGGCAGGATGCGCTACCGGGCGTCGGTGAGCGGGGTGGGGGCAGGGCGGGGGTTCCCGGGTGTC